GGGGGTGTCTGTAATGGGGGGTATGTCTGTAATGTTCTCTTTCTCCGTTGCTATGTGTCTGTAATGGGGTGGGGGGGGGGAGGGGAGGGGGGGAGCCGCCAATCTCGAACTTAAAACTTACACTCACTATTTTCTTCGAAAACATACGTGAGTTCCACAAAATATCATTAACAATTTATCCTCAATTAGTATGGGATCCCCTTTATGGTACCTCGTAGTCCCTTAAAAGTCCAGTATGGGTACGAATTCTTTATAGCACATGTTGTACGCACTGCGCTGTACAAAATGGCAAATACTAAATTGAAAACGGAGCGTCATACTTGGGGACCTTCCATTGTTAGCTGAAACCAAACATCTAGTTTTAAGCTTATCTACTAGTCTTTGCCGTTGAATGGCTTTTTCAGAGAAATCGTTCCTAATAATGAAAAACATTCTCGATCTAAACGTATTCTGATTGCTCTTAATGGAATCTTCTGAAAAATATTTCTCAACGAATTTTGACTTTACTGGTTCTTCATAACAGGCGAAGTGTACGTGAAATAAACGATACGTAGTAGCTTTGAGAGAAAATTCAATGTTCAAAATATTGTTGATTTGCATGAAAAACATCAATTTAGATTAATGTTCTATTTTGTGGAACTCACATATATTTTCGAAGAAAATAGTTAGTATAAGTTTTAAGTTGAAGTTTTAACGCGCCCCCTCCCCCTTTCCACTACTGACAATCCCATTTACAGACTTTAGTAATCGAAAAAAATAGGCTGCAGACTTTCAAAATTTTTTTGCAACAATGATCAAATTTTTAAATTTATTAAAAGTTATGAATGTCATTCTTCATATATTAATTATATTATATAATAGTGCGTTAAAGTCTGCTGTAGGTATGGTCGAGGTGTTAAACAGACTTGTTTGTCATTTAATTCGCTGATGATAACACTTACAATGTTAAATAAATTAAAAAAAAATGAAAAAATAAAAATTACAAGAGAATTGACAAAATGCAAATTAAATTTAGAGCACGCGTTGAGAAAAATGTTTGCTTGAAATGCAGAATAGTGTACGAGATTTCTTCAGTTTATGTATCTTCTACTAGTTTAATGAGGTAGGGAGCATATGCAAGTTTCATATTTCAGCCAGATAGAACTGCGCTAACAAACTCTTCTATTCGAAAGAAGTTTCATTGAACGGATTTCGAAATCGAAACTCGGTCAAAGATACGTAATTGCAATCTTCAATTAGAAACGATTTTTATCCAATACAAAACGCCTTAAAAGTCTGTTCAGCTTTATGATTGAATACTTTGAAACAACTGAAACAGTATTAAAGCTCCAAACATCAGACTTCGACACTATTCGCTAGCCTCGTTTTATCAAATACTCTCACTCATAGAATTTCATTATTTGGAATATTTACATAATCACAATTTTCAGATAATTTCATCATAGAGTATCCAGTAAGATCTTTGAACGAGATCCAAAACTTATTTTCAAAAACTGAAGTAGAAAATTCTTTGCATCATTCAGTTCACAGTACTGCAATATTTTTGAACAAAGCCGATACCTGTGCGTGGGTGTGTGGGTGAAGAAAAGAGCCACATCCTTCAATAGTTGTTGATTCGTAAAAGAGAATTGCGCGACTTTGCTGTCCTATTGCGATGATAAAATAATGCTATTTTGATATTCAGACTTATTTGAAAGGTAAAAACTCCTTTAGCGAGCGTTAGATGAGTATAAAAACAGATTGTAAATGGTTAGAATCGAATGTCAATAGATCTTCAATAGAATACTTAAGATTATTTTTTATTCAAAATGAATCAACAACGAAACTACTGTTGATAAATTGTTCAAAATGGCAACTGAATAAAACTATTATCTGTATCGAACTTCTCTATCTCGAAGATTAGTATTTATCAAGGTAGAATAATAAAATTCCACTGTTTAGCCTGGTGTTTTCTTTCAGAATTGTGCCTGCGTAGTGCAAATTTGAATGCGAATGCAAAATGGGTTCAGAATGGTACCACTGTGGCTGGAGGAAGTAGAGAAGGCAGTAGAATAGATCAGCTGCACTATCCATGGGGTTTGTTTGTTGATGATAATCAAACTGTCTTAATTGCTGACAGTTCAAATCATCGTATTATGGAATGGAAATGTGGTGCAATAACTGGCCGAGTTGTGGCCGGTGGAAACGGAGCTGGAAATTGTGCGAATCAGTTAAATTGTCCGACAGATGTAATTGTCGATAAAGAAAGACATTGTCTGATCATTTGTGATCATGGCAATAAAAGAGTAGTTCGATGGCCTCGTAACAATGGTACAAGTGGAGAAACGATAATCTCAAATATCTGGTGTTGGAGCTTGACAGTGGACGACGATGGATCTATCTATATTGTTGACCATATAAAACATGAAGTCAGACGATATCGAATGGAAGAAAGTCAAGGAACAGTGGTTGCAGGCGGAAATGGGCAAGGAAATCATCTCAATCAGTTGAGCAATCCCCGATACGTGTTCGTCGACCGAGACCATTCAGTATACGTATCGGACACAAACAATCATCGTGTGATCAAGTGGGTGGAAGGAGCAAAAGAAGGCATTGTTGTGGCCGGTGGTCAAGGTCAAGGAAATGGTCTTACACAACTGTCAGATCCTTACGGAGGAGTTGTCGTGGATCAGTTAGGTACTGTGTATGTGGCTGACTATAACAATAATCGAATAATGCGTTGGTATCAAGGAGCCGCACAGGGAAGTCTTATCGTTGGTGAGCATGGCCAAGAGAAGCAGTCGAAGCAGATCTATCTACCTACCGGTTTGTCATTTGATCGACAAGGTAATCTCTACGTGAGTGACTATGGACATCATCGAGTACGAAAGTTCAACATTGCTCAAAGTTAATGGTTTTTGACAATTGACATTGCCTAAATCTTATCACTATACTCTGGCATAAGTGATCGAATAATACGGTGGTTTGATTTCGTGCTGTTTTTTATAAGTTGAAAAAAAACAGTTCAACATTTTGGTCATCTCCTCTTTCGGAAGGTGTGGGTAGGTGTGGGTGTGGGTGTGAGTGTGGGTGTGGGGTGCGTGTGGGGTGCGTGTGGGGTGTGGGTGTGGGTGTTTTTGTGGGTGTGGTGTGTGTGGATGTGG